CAAATGGAGACCTGTTACATGGACTATTAGTGTCATTTGATCCAGTCATTTTCAGCCTGAGAAAGTTACCACCCAAAAAAATTTCATCTTTCTCACAAGAAGTATTACAATTACTAAAGAAAATAGTTCAAGTGCAAGTGTGCGGTCGGGCTGCACAAGAAGCCGGAGATACACTACAAAAAAAAACACCACGCCGGGTGGCTAACGAGCCAAAAACAAAAAAACGTTCGCAGACGCGGAACGGCGATTAGTTCGAATGAACAAAAATAAAGGCAAACTTATATAAAAAAAAATGGCGGACCAACGGCAACCGGACACCGGATAGCGAACCTGTTCCGTAGACGGTGGAAGAACGACGAAAAGCACGCCGGCGGCGGGGCACCGGCAACGGGCAACTTGGCCGCGGCGATAGCGGGGGTCCAGGTTGGACTCCCCGGCGCGACAACGTTGCGGCACATTACCAACTGCGACATGACCGCGCGCAATATGAATTAGACTTGTATCCAACATTTCCTCCCCACGTTGAAAGACCCAGGCGTCTTTCAAAAAACCATCAGATATGCAGATTGAAGTTGAAAGGTCAGATCGTACACATTAAAAGTTGCGACACAATAAATACATAAATAGTATACAACATAGGGTAGAAATAAATAATAATATTATAATACAAAAGGGTGTACCTAACACTCATCACCTGATAAACAATAAACAAATAAAATGGACAAAAAAATTAAGTTATCATGTGATTACACGGGGTAGGTTTAGGGTTCGACCGGTAAACGCACAAGTTTCACGACCGGTCGCTTGTATACCCCGTCTTGAGTGCGCACAGACACGACGCGAACAACATTGTCGGAACCGGGGTGGACCTCTGTGATGCAGCCGAGACGCCACTCGGTTGGTGGTCGAGATGGAGCTTCAACGATGACCATGTCGCCGATCGTCAGGTTTGGGGACGACTTGAACCACTTCTGTCGACCTTGCAATGTGGACAAGTATTCGCGTGACCACCGTTTTCAATATGATTGATGGCACTGTCGGATGAGCTGCCAACGGTTCAAACGGCTGATTGGGACGTCAGTGGTGTCTGGTTCGGGCATGGCGTGAATCGGCTGTCCAATCAGAAAATGTCCCGGCGTTAATGCGTTTAAGTCGTGTGGATTGGAATAGATCGGTGTGATCGGACGTGAGTTTAAAATGCCTTCAATGCGTGTGGTCAATGTATAGAACTCTTCGTATGTCATCACCTGTTGATCGATGACATGCTTGAGGTGGAACTTGACACTTTTGATGTCGGCCTCCCAAATTCCGCCGAAGTGTGGCGCGGCAGGCGGATTGAAATGCCATGTGCAGGCTAGATGCGACGACAGGCGGTCTTGGGCCTTGGAGTCACGTAACAACGTTTTTAGCTGGCGCGCGGCGCCGACGTAATTGGTGCCGCAGTCCGAGAACATTTTGGACGGAATCCCTCGTCGGGCGACAAAACGATCGAGTGCTGCGAGGAAAGCATCGGTGCTGAGATCGGTGACAATTTCGAGGTGTACGGCCTTAACGGACATACAAATAAATAGCGCGAGATAAATCTTAACCGATTGCGCATTGCGACGGCGGTGCTCCTTTACGAGGAACGGCCCTCTGTAATCCATGCCGACGTGTGAAAACGGCCGATGAGGCTGGACCCGGTAGGACGGTAGATCGGCCATAATCGGCTGCGGGCGGACGGCTTTGTGACGTTTGCACGGTACGCATGAAAAAATGACACGTCGAACCGCAGCGCGACCCGACAAAATCCAGAATTTTCGGCTTAACATTGACATTACCAACTTTGGCCCGCCGTGTAAAAATGACAAATGATAGTGACGGATAATTAACTCGGTGAGGTGCGAAGACCGCGGCAACAATATCGGATGCTTCGCGTCATGACTAATATCGGAAAAGCGCAGGCGGCCTCCGACCCGTATGATATAGTTGTCGGCGATGTATGGTGCTAATTGTGCCAAAGACGGTTGTGTTATCATAGATTTATTGTTCAATGCTTTAATCAGATCCGAAAAATAGTATTGTTGTATACGTTGTACGACGATCAACAAAGAGCGTTCTCGCTCGGCAAACGTGATAGGACCGACGCGGAGCGGTTGTCGTCGTAGACGATGAGACAGATAACGGGAGACGTAAGACAATACTCGTAACATTTTTTCGAATAACGAAAATCGACGAAGACAGCATTGATTTCGGCAAAAGACCACGGGAGGCTGGATCTGCGGGATTGTCGTTCGTGGGTACGTAGTTCCACACACAACCAGGTAGTAACTGACATATTTTGGCAACCCGATTGGTCACAAAAATTTTAAAATGTTTTGGGTCTGATGTTAACCACGACAAAACAACTGACGAGTCCGACCACGCACGCAGACGAGATATAGACATTTCGGTGGACAGCACAGATTGAACGTGATGAAGTCTCTGGACCAACAGCAGGGCCCCGCATAGTTCCAAGCGAGGTATGGAAAGCGACTCGTCGGTGGCGGCACTCTTTAGAGGGGCGACCTTAGTTTTGCAGGTGATTAACTGGACGGAAATATCACCGGCGGCGTTGACGAAACGGAGATACACGACCGCCGCGTATTCCTTTATCGATGCGTCCGCAAAGCCCAATAATTGAATGTCCTGATGACGAATGACGTCGATGTGACGCGGAAGACTTAAATCGAAAACGAGCGGTAGCTCAATACAGAATTGTTGCCACATGGACTGCAGCTCGGGGGACATCGGATCATCCCACCCGAGTTTATTGCACCATAATAACTGCATGAAATATTTTGCTCACAACAACATAGGACCAAGAGCGCCAATAGGGTCGAATAAACGTGCAATAACGGACAACACCTGACGTTTCGTCGAAGTAATTTTATCTAGACTGGTATGATACGCAAACTTGTCGGTATTTGTGTCTCAATGTAAACCGAGAACCTTTACGGCGTGTTCTTCGCGCGGATCGAACGATAAGGACCGTACGCGGTCATCGGGGGAAACGGACTCGAGGACGATAGCACTGTTAGTAGTCCATTTGCTCAACATACAGGCACCACTGCGTAGTAAACCGACAATATCTTCCTTCCGATGTAGTAAAAGCTCTTCGGTGTCAGCCCCGATAACGATGTCGTCGACGTAGGCAGCACGAGTAAGGACGTCTTTTGCAAGTGGAAAACGATGACCAACTTGCCGGTCGAGTTCGTGAAGACAACGTATGGCGAGATACGGCGCGCAATTAAGACCGTATGTTACAGTACACAACTGAAATAAATTCGACGAGGTCGTCGGTAGGCGAATTGCGCCAAAATATATGTTGAAATGCCCAGTCTTCTGGACGAATTAAAATTTGTCGATACATTTTGACGATGTCGGCGGACAAAATGTACCTATGCAAACGACAACGAAGTAGAATGTCGCGTAAATCGACTTGAAGTTTTGGTCCAGTGCACAATACATCGTTCAGTGAGCGACCGGAAGACGAAACGAACGAAGCGTCGAACACGACGCGAATTTTGGACACGTCACCGTCGGCCTTAAGCACGGCGTGGTGCGAAATAAAGTATTTACCGGGTTCCGGGAACGGTACCATGTGTCCTAGCGCTTGATATGTAGACATAAACTTACGGTAAGCAGCATACAACTCGGCGTCCTTAGTCAATCGTTTTTCTAAATTGTAGAAACGTTTCAACGCGAGATAAGGCGCGAATCACCGAGACTGTGACGCGGGGTGTCTTGCTGTTTAGCTGCACTCGCGAACAAATGACGAAATGGTAACGCCACGCAGAATCGGCCGGTACAATCACGCGAAGTAGATTTAGAAAAATAGTCGTCGCACCACTGATCTTCCGTCGTTGGCGACGAAGGGGCGGCAGGTTCTTCGACCGACCAAAATGTTTGTAACAAATCCCCAATGGCAGGTGGAGCGACGGCGGTGGTCAGCGTGACTGGAGGTGACTTGCTCGGAGTGGAAAATGAACCGAAAATAATCCAGCCGAGCTGCGTGTCGAGGGCCGACGGTAAACCTAAACGATGCTCCACACCCGCGTGTGGGCGAATAAGATTAGGTATTATATCTGCGCTGAATAGAACGTCGATGCGCGACGGAGTGTCGAAGTTCTCGTCCGCGAAACGGAGGTGTCGATATTGTTGACGCATGTTTATCGGCAGCCGTGTGGACGGCATGGCACCGGTGATTTGTTTTAGAATAACTAATTCAACAGACGGGAATAAAAAATCTGGTTCAAAACGGGACAAAAATTGACAACTGGTTACACCTTGAACGTGGGACACAGGATTTTGCGCGAAACCAACGATGTCAGACTGGTAGCGACGTTTCGAAAGTCCAAGAAGCGCTGCGCACTCACTAGTCACGGCCGAGATCTGTGAGCCACTATCGAGTAATACGCGTACGCTGTGTACTCGTTCCCAAGCGTCTTTAATGTACACAATCGCTGTACCTAGTACGACGGTAGAATTGGTGCACGCGGCACCGACAAACGAAGTAGAACCGCCACTAGACGTGGTTGGTTGAGATATCGGGTTAGTGTTCGGAGTCGTATTATTTACAACTGACGTTCGATTTTGTTCATGATGTAGCAAGGTGTGATGACGTTTACTACTGCATGAACGGCACCCTCCTTCTGACGAACAAGTGTCGAACATATGCAACGGACTCATGCACGCGAAACACAATTTGCACGACAGTACAACATTTCGGCGTTTTTCGACAGACATTTCGTTGAACTTCGGACATAGATAGATATTGTGGTCAGTCGTATCACATGACAGGCAACCTCTCGATTTCGACTTCAAGCGGCATAAACGTTTTGTGAGACTGCGCCTTAGACTTGTCATGCGGTTTAAAAGTAATATCTGGTTAAGTAGAATTTTTTATATTCTCTAGTATTCTGCACCGTTGCTGTACGAAAGTGAGTAACTCATCGAATGTCGGAATAGTAGAATTCAACGCATTGGATTAGAATAATTGAATCGTGGTCGGATCGAGAACTCGAGAACCCATGTGGAATAATAAAAAACTTGAAAGGTCGTTGACACCGAGCGCTTTGATTATGGCTACATTTTCTTTGAACGTGTTGATAAAAGATGTCAAAGCCGGTAGCGATTGATGTGTAATAGGTTTGAATGCAAACAATTTGTCTAGATGTGCCGAAGCTAACAAACGTTTATTGTCAAACCGAACGGACAGTGCTTCCCAAGCGAGGGCGTAATTATTTGCGGACAGCGGTATTGCTTTGACTACAGCGAGAGCGTCACCCGATAAACACGACAGTAGAAAGTGAAAACGTTCGGCATCACCAATGCCGGTGTTGTCGTGTACGAGAGATACATATATATCGCGGAACGATCGCCACTCTAATAAACTACCGTAGAAGCTGGGCAGCTGAATCTTCGGTAAAGGAACGAATTGTTGTGGCGCGGAAGCGATGGACGACGAAGACGACGATTTAGAGGCGATCATAGAACGATCATCCCAATCAAATTCGGCAACACGATTAAGATCGATTAACGCGTTAATAATAGCATCTTGTAGATGTTGAAATTGTTCGACGTATTCATTTAAATCATCGGCGTGGATAATTAACGACGGTACTCGATCAGCATCAGCACGGGCGGCTACGGCTGTGGCGTGAATACTTTTAATAGAATTTAAAACGTTATCGCGTTTGACACGCGCTCGAGCTAAAGCGTTTTCGGGAGTCTCTTCTTTTTTCGGTGGTATGACGACAGAAATACGAATCAAATGAATGACAATTTAATCTAATAAGATAGTAACGAAATAATCACACGAAAATAAGATCCGGTTCGAGGGACCAAACAATGTGCGGTCGGGCTGCACAAGAAGCCGGAGATACACTACAAAAAAAAACACCACGCCGGGTGGCTGACGAGCCAAAAACAAAAAAACGTTCGTAGACGCGGAACGGCGATTAGTTCGAATGAACAAAAATAAAGGCAAACTTATATAAAAAAAATGGCGGACTAACGGCAACCGGACACCGGATCGCGAACCAGTTCCGTAGACGGTGGAAGAACGACGAAAAGCACACCGGCGGCGGGGCACCGGCAACGGGCAACTTGGCCGCGGCGATAGCGGGAGTCCAGGTTGGACGCTCCGGCGCGACAACGTTGCGGCACATTACCAACTGCGACATGACCGCGCGCAATTTGAATTAGACTTGTATCCAACAGCAAGTGATGAAAATTAATAGATATATTTATTATATATTTTTATATTCAGTATTAATAATTTACTGCGTACTTTATTTCAAATTGTAATTTTTAAATTTAATAAATAAATGGAAATTTGACTTCTTTAGTGTGAAAAATAATTCAATATGCAATAAGTGTCAGTCTTTAATATGATAATACTTTTTCAAAAACAATATGTAAAAATATTTGTAACAAAAATAAATGTATTACAGGAAACAAAACCTGTATAATAAAATAAATCATTATGTAGGTATTTTTTAAAAAAGTATATCAAAAAAAATTTACAATACTAATCTATGTATTAAATTAAGACACAAAACTAAAATTAAATTATTGAATTAAAAATATTGTTTTGACCATAAAAGTAAGTTATTTGGCCCACTGTGACACCCTATGAAAACGCATTTAATGAAATAAAAAATAAGTTGATGGAACCACCATTTCTCATGCATTACAATAAAGATGCCGATACTATTTTAGTAACAGATACGATTTTGTTAGGTTTAGGAGTAATTTAACAGCAGAGAGATGACGATGGCAATATTCATCTAGTTTCCTTTGAGACAAAAAAAAATTGTTACTAATACTAACTAATCGCCGTTCCGCGTCTGCGAACATTTCGTTTTTGGCTCGTTAGCCACCCGGCGTAGTGTTTTTTTTTTGTTCGTCGGTAACTAGCCGTCTTGGCTACTCACCCGAGCCCCTGCGCTCACCGACTCATCGCGCACATGCTCGTTTCGTGCGATTCGAGTCACGGCCGCCCGTGCCAAACCACGAGCTGTATTTTCGTGTTTTTCGTCGCCCGTCCGATTTTTCGCTGTGCGACCCCCGACCCGTGGTCATTTACGCCGACCACGTGTTTTAGTACGACCGTCTGGTGTCTGATGCGTCATTACTGATTTTGTTATATTTTGATACGCTCGGCCGATCTTTGCCGTGCGATTGAGCCCCGCTCGCTTCGACGCGCCCACGTGTTCCGCCCGCCCGTTATAATACGCAGTGCGAACCGTCGCGTCTATTCTGTTTGTCGTTTGAGCCGCGTTCTACGCCGCGACAACGGACAGTCCACGCGTGCCGTGTTTTTTTTTGTAGTGTATAAATCTGACATCTGTAAGCATCACGTCCGATCCCCTCGATCAACGATCGCATCGTCTAAGTTGGAATACCTCCGTCGACCACCGAACGTACGCACGTGGTATCGTCGACGTTTTTCGTCATATTCGACGATAGTGCGAGTGTCGCAATCAACGCCTGTCGTTTCGCGGTCGTTCCAGACCAATCACAGCACCAACATCGTGTTATCATCGAGCCAGCCAGGTTATCAGGTCGTGCACACGACATCATTTGTTTATTATTATTATTATTATTATTATTATTTTATTCGTCACGAATCGACGTACCTTTGTATTATTCTGCCGTCTTCGACGCGGCCATATACATTTATTTGTTTAATCGACCTGTGATTGTGCGCCCCATATACTAACCCTAGTAGGTAAGGTATTTTATTGCAGAAACAAGCCAATAAATCGTTCTGCACATTATCATATATAAAATATTGTGTTTGTTATTGGTCACCTAATTCTCATTAATTTTTAATTATTTTAATTTAGTCAGATGTGAACCGCCCATAAAATTATATACAGTCCACTCTCTACCTCCTTACAGGGACATCGAAGCATTTTGCTGTAACGGTGAAATAATCGCACCCGACGGGTTACGTGTAGGTCCGCCGTCCGTGCGCACACACACACACACACACACACACACACACACACGCGCGCGCGCGCGTCAACTCGTCCTCCGGCTTCTTGTGCAGCCCGATCGCACAATAATCATTATCTTCATATGTGCATATCAAGATGCATCTGAAAGTTCATATGTGCATATCCACCTTGGTGCATAATATATATTATATAAACGTATATGTCATAGATAACAAGATTAAATATTATCGCTACGAAAACGTATTACTTGATTGTATTTTTCTGTGATCCTCGTAGTCTCGTGTCTCGAGTATCGTCGTTTAGTCTATTCAAAATAATTTACAAAATGCTCAATAAATTATTATACTTCATTAATTATTAATATGATGGCATCAAAATCTGCTAGTGGTGTTGCGAAACGCAAAATAAAAAAACATGTTTTTATATGCGAAGTAATTTATATTTTTAGTATCATCGTTTTTCAATAATCATTTCCATTAAACTTATTTTTATTAGCGGAAGATTCTGTTCTCTCAAACGTTTCGTTGGATTATTTACCAACGTCAACAGGGATAGGAAAATTCTTTACTAATAAAATTTCTTGTTTTGTTATCCACTCTTCTGAAATTCGAACACAATGAATTAGTAAATAACTATGTTAAAAGAAATCATCTTCTTTAGTTTACTTCCAAACTTACTTTTTTGTTTATCCACAGGAACTAAATATTTTACGATTGATTTCTTAAAAACATTGCCATTTTTATCTTCTTTTTTTACAGAAAGAACAATACGCACAGTTTCAGGACTAGATCCAGTTATATCTTTCACAGATTTATATGAATTGTTAACCATATCCTTGGATTTCACTGATACGTCAACCACACTTGGTGAACAATTAAGTATCGTATCTTTCTTTGCCATTGATTCTTCTGAAATAAAAGAAATTTAATTACCATATTGACAATTTATAAAGGATTTAAAATTTTGGCTATTTCTTTATTGAAGTTAAATGAAAGAAGCATTTATTTCTAAAGCGAATGTAATTTATTATAACATTTGAACGGTGTATAAATTCAGGATAGTCAATATAATACTAAATTAATTTAAATGAAATTTTCAATTCTAGCATAAGTTTTAATTATTCGTAGTTCTGATTTTAAAAAGACAGTTAATATGTCATATTCTGAGTGAGTATTCATTAAATGTGGTATTTATATAATAGGAAATATCTAAAAAAAA